TGCAGGCCCAGGGAGACAGCCAGCTGGAGCCAGAGGGGCATCCTGCTCTCTGCAAAGAGCCATTGCACCCAACTTTACAGAGAGGTAAACTGAGGCTCTCAGGAACCCAAGCTAGTAGCCAGGGCTCTCTGGGCCTGAACACCTATGCCTGTGTTGCTACTCAGCAAGAGGTTTACAGTTGACCTGTCCCGTATTCTCCCGTGCCCAGGGCGCTGTGTGGATCCCAGCTATTCTGCTCTGAAAGGAAGCAGGTGGAGGCAGTCATTCGCACTTTAGTCAAAATTAGTTTCTCTTCTTTAGTAAACACCCCCTACCATAATCCCTACCTTGGAGAAACGCATATATAACTTCCGTGGCAATTGTGGAAGTGGTGGCCAGCACAGTGCAGTCACAAGGGAGGGAAGGTTTCTTTCCTGAGCCACATCAGAATGGCTCCCTGCAAATTGCTACATGGGCACAACGGGAAAGGGAATGGCTTGAGTTCAGAAAGGACTGGGCTGGTCAGTAGTGCAGTGCTGAAGCCCCGTCCACAGCCAGCCAGGTCCCACATGGCCAAGTATGATTCAAATCCCGTGACTGGGGGCTTGAAAACCCACCAAAAGCATGTGTGTGCAGGCCCCGGTCCCGACAGGAGGGAGAAATGGAGGAGAAGGATCGCAGCGTGTCTGGACCCCACTGAGGGGCGCTTTCTCTCTCTCCCTCTCTGTCTCTCACACTCTGGCATGCACACCTTTCTGGCAATTAAAACAAAAAGACCCCGCCCCCCCGGCTGGGGGGTCCAGGGTAGAGCAGGTGCAGGCTGCCGAGGAACAGCATTGCAGAGGTCCCGGGGCCCCTGCGGGACACGCGGGCACGTTTGAGGAACTTGGAGCGGAGTGGGGGCAGAGGAAAGGACCCAGACGGGGCCTGAGCGGCTGAGATGACGAAGGCCTCGAATGCCAGGCGGGGCGCGGGGCGGGCGCTGGAGCTTCATCAGAAGGGGGCCCCCGCCTGGAAGCCAGGGCTCGCAGGGAGGGCGGGCCAGGCCGGCCTGTGCTGCAGTCGGGTGGCCTTGCGGGCTGCAGGGCGCAGCGGGCAGGAGGCCTAACTGCTCTCGGCGGGCGTTGTGTTTTGAAAGACTTCGGCGAAGTGAGCGTTGAAGGGAGGGTGGTGCTCGCGGAGGAATTTGGGGGGCGTGATATGGTTGGGGTGGTGGGTGGGGTGTACGGATCGAAAGGCCCCGGGAGATCAAGTTCAGCCCAGGTCAAGCTCTGAACCGCCGCTGGTCTCTCTCGCAGCCCCTGGCCCCGCCCCGGCTCCGCCCCTGCCTGCCCGGCCACGCCCCTGCCTGCCCGGCCACGCCCCTTGCCCGGTGGCCCTCCGTCCCCGCTCCTTTTCCAGCCAATT